CACTAGTGCAGTGTTGGTAGATCGATGTAGTTGAAATTCCCCATACAATCGCCAAAAATTCCCTGAATTGGTATAAAAATCCCTAGTTTCAGAATATATTCGATTTCTAGTATGGGGGAATCCCGCTTCGTATCTTTCTCTATTTGTATGCGTTAGAGAGAGATATTCGATCTATGCAAGCAACCTGCAATAGAGATTGATTTTCTTTTCTCTCTCTAACACATTATACTAAGCGGCATAAACGGTGTATTTTCATTATGATATTGTTATTTTTCATAAATAAAAAGCATAACATGTATAACAAATTCTAAATTATTTTCCATTTTGCGCTAAAATATTACGGGAATATAAATTAAAAAATCCCTGAATCTGTCATAAATTTCCCTTTTTCCCTAATTACTGAAAATTTACCTAAATCTAGGGAGAAATTCCCTAATATACTATAACTGCACTAGTGATGGAATGAAGTTGCTGCATAATCAAAAGCTGCTACAAAATGGTCGAATTTTGTAAAAGTCGTAGAGAAATACTTTTCATAACTATTTCATGCAAAATTTCTTAAGAATTCTGTTTACTTTGTTTGGAAACATTTGGCTCAATATCATTTCCAATCCAGACAAAATGAAACTACAACTAGTTTTCAAAAAATTCCTTTACATCTCCACCCACACAAATCTCTAACTCCATCCAAAAACTCATTTCCAACTCGAAATTCCCGCACAACAACCCTCAATATACAGACATCCACCATGAAAAAAAAAAACTCGCTCTTAATCAAAACACATATTTAGATTTTCGAGAGCGAAGGTGTCGTCGGCTCCAGCCGAAAAAGAGTTTCCATTCCAGGCGATGTTGACCTTTCGTGCACCTATGACGTGCGTCTCTCCTTTATAGAAAACGTGTCTTGTGTATTGAGCACCTCTCTAAAACAATTCGCTTTGTTAATCTCTTCGCCCACGCGATTTAAAAAGAAAATACTAATGTTTGGATTGGGTGTAGGAGCTATTTTGATTGGATGTTGAGTTCAATGGTTGAAGTATGTTTATCCCAACCTTTGCCAAAGAATTGACGATGTTGCATTAGTTTGTATAGATTTTAATTTTGGTCTCAAGCCTGTTGAACCTGAGTCAAATTTGATTCAGACTTGAGTCAAATTTTAGTAACACCTAATGTCTGTAGGTAAAACCTGGATATATAGTACTCAAACACGATCTTGTATGTTTGGAAAATTGCTTGTCCTCAATAAGTAAATTCCAGACTTATTCCTAGATAAACACCTGAAAATGTCCAAAATTACTGCAATCAGTTCCATACAATCTGGCGAACTGTACCAATAATGAGGACCATCTCAAACTAAGAATCGCTGAGCATATCTAGGCAGATTATGGACAAACTATTTCAATTATTATCAGCGATATTGATCCTGACAAAGCTTTCACACATGATGGACATATCCAAGCAACTTCTGGGTGCGTTCACTAAATTGATTAAAACTCTATATACCTACGTATGATTAATCCATTGATTAATCCAAACTCCATTGGAATTAATCATCAATCATGTCGTTCAGTGAACTCACCCAGTTACCTAAATTTTCGAGCATCCTCCTCCCCCCCCCCCCCCCCCCTTTCACGCCTTATTTTGATAGCGACGCGGGCGAAACGAGACGCCGCTAGGGCCAAAAGGGGGCACATCAGTTGACATCAACAGAAAGATGACTACGTATGAACAATGAACAGTGAATAGGGTAAAATATCTTCCAAAACGTTTAGTGGCCCTTAAAGAATATTTTCAAAAGTGTCAGCATCAGCTTGTCTTGAAACCACACATCAAACTTGACTTTAGAGGTTAAAATTACATTTGATTATTCACGCGCCAAAATTTAAAGAGCTCCAAGTACACAAGCGCCCTCTTCAACTCGACTGTCAATATTACATGCCATTGCCGTAGGTATAGCTCAAGAATCGTAAACTCTACAGGATTGCTCAATCGGCTAAATTTGTTCACAATTGCTGTGACGTCACGTGCATCCCGGATCTTCAAGATGGCCGCTGATACGAATGATGTTCAGTTTGTGCTAACAAATATTTTATCGTAAATTCGGATTTATATGTTATAAGTGTAATTTAGAGTTTCATTTAATGTGTGTAAGCATAAAAGACTCGTGGTTGAAAATACTCGGGAAAACCCCAAGCATTTTCTGGTTTTAGTGGTTTTATAGTAGGTACTGGATTAATTGTTGTATCACGACATCGCTTTCTTTTATTCGTGTGTATTGCTAGTTTTCTACTGTTAGTATTTCCTAGTCAAGCATTTGTATTGCTTTTTTTTGTAAATCAAATATCTACTTAGTTGTAAGATTCCTTTGCATGTAATTACTAAAAATTAGTGTTTGTGAAGAGTGAATAAATAAATATGTAAATAAATTCCTTTACTGGCGCGTTTACTATGAAAACGCATGGAAAATATGGGAAACTTGCAGTGTTTTTCTGGAATATGATTATGAAAATCTAAATTAGGTATCACTATTCGGCTTTGTGAAATAAGCTTACTTTGAATGTCCATATTAAATCGTTCTAGTACCTATTAAACTATTGAATAATAATTGAGAAGTTATAGGTAGGGGCAGTAAAAAATAAAACACACTATAGCAAAATTGATAAACAAAAACAAACAAACTCGTCTTTCTAATTAGCCAACCACTCAAGCTTCAAGGACACAAACTTTTGAAGTCTGCTAATTTTAAAATTAATTAATTAATTCCAAAATACAGTTTTCAAAGGAAATAACCTCAAAATAACAATTTTTCACGTTTGAAAATGCAAGGAAAGTGCACTGTCATAATAAAACACAAACTGATCAAGGACTGCGTGACGTCATTCGCATACCGCCATCTTCGATGTTTTTATGAACGTTTGTCTTATGGGATTGAGCAATCCTGTAGAGTTTACGATTCTTGGGTATAGCTGATGAGCTCGTTTTACAATAGGCAAAAACGGATGTCCCACTTTTTATCATCACGACTGTACAGGGTGTCCGATGGTTTTGGGGGGTTTCAGGTATTTCTAAACAAGTTCGAAATAATCTGACCCCCACTTGCCCACAATTATAAAATTTGAATTTGGCATGATCTGAGCTTCCGGCACTAACTGGTTCTCTGAGGCTTGGCAATCACTGTTGAACTTTTTGTCAAAGGACCCCGCACATTTCTTATGGAAAAGTGATCTATGTGGAATTTTGCTGAATTTTTGATATTGTGTATAGGGAGTCGTCCTTAACAAAAGTGATCATTGCGCTAATGTTCAATACCCAACAGTTTTCAAGATATCAATTAAAAACTTTTTTAATTTGATACTCTTCTCTGTACTCTTCAGTATGACGTCACCAGTATGCTCACAGCACCAAAAATTAAAACTATCCTTTTCACTTTTGACTTTGACTACCTATACTTATACTCTTCTCTTTTTAACATTAAAGAAAATTAAAAAAAACAACAAAAGGTACAAATGAAATCGCTATATGACAGACATCATGACATGAAGTTGACGATTGCGGCAGGAGCTAGGTGTTGTTTACATACCTACCTATTTGTCACTAATCGCTATCGCTATCTTTTTTTTTCTATAATGTTAAAAGGAGAAGAGTAAAGTCAAAGTCAAAAGTGGAAAGGATAGTAATAATTTTCGTTGCTGTGAGTGACGTCATACTGAAGAGTATCATATTAAAAAAGTTTTTAATTGATATCTTGAAAACTGTTGGGTATTGAACATTAGCGCAATGATCACTTTTGTTAAGGACGACTCCCTATACACAATATCAAAAATTCAGCAAAATTCCACATAGATCACTTTTCCATAAGAAATGTGGGTCCTTTGTTAAAGCTACTAGAGTGTCGCAGGCGTTCTGATGTAGAAGCCAGAGCTAACAGATACTCTCTAAATAAATCTTCTGGGTTGTTGTACCTGCCTGCTTTTGCACCATTTTGTATGTCTTCAACAAAAAATAAATATTTTTTTACAATGTTGCTGGATAATCGCGTTGGTCTGAAAACGCATAAGTAAGTATAGTTTTTCATTGATCCCATGTGTGATCATAAGTACCTATCTAAACTGTTATACCATGACTTCGCCAAACTTTCAAAACGAGACTGCATATGGTACACAGTCAATGTGTCATTCAGTTTTGTATATTTTCGTATGGTTCTTCATTCATAGCTCGATCAAGTGTAAGCCACTGGTATTTTCCTGTTTCTGACTACCCTCTCAACCATTCCATGTTAGTATGAATTCAATCCTATGTACAGTTTTTGAATAATCATAAGTATAATTTTTCACTAGTGATGATGAAAATTCTATTGGGTCATGTTAGCTTCTGCCACCGATTCTCTAGCGATTGTCTCATGAGTTCAATATTACGTGTTGATTGCGCATGTATCACTAATAAAGAGCAATACAAAATATGCGAATCATCTATACAATCATAAAATCAATAAATTTTTCATTAAATAAATTATTAGCAAACTAAGCACTTGTAATTAATTGATACAAATTAAGACGCAGTAACCCCCATACAAGACCGAACCAGTAATTACCAAATAAATGCCGAAATTTTTTAACCCATATTAAACAGTAGCTAGACGACGCAGAAAATAATAATTACATATAAATAAACAAGCCAGAGGTTAATCAACTTGCAAACACTGCGAAAAAAATATTGCGCTGATTTCGATTTCTGTGGAAAACTGAAAAGTTCAAGAAAAACATGTTGAGGTATATCGTATGATTTAGAAGGTTTAATTTTTCATAAGAAGCAGCGTTTTCACGAGCTTTGGTAACATGGGAGTGCTAAATTTGAAACCTTCTAAATACTATTTAATATAGTATAATGCGACTGTCTTAATGGCTTATACCAAAACTCAGGAAAACGCTTATAATTATTATTGGTTGCCATAGTTTTTGGCTTCCTAACCATTGTTATGCTTGATCAATATCAAATCAAAAATGGAAAAACAAAAAGAAATTATTGAAAATAAGCTATCTGATGATATGGGAAAAATGGGCGAGGAGTTCAACAACTTTATGCATAAGGTTACTGAGGTAGGTATACTAATTTTTTTCAAAAAAAAATCCATTACTTTTTTTGTGTATTTCGAGGTCGATGGTATAATCAAAAAACTTACGTCCAAAGACAAAGACTTGCAAGCTATAGGAGATCAGGAAGCAAAATTGTATTTAAGAGAGGAAACTGTTTTAGATGATATTGATGGTGAAACAATCTCATTAAAAGTGACTAACGATAGAACGATCGTTAACAAAATAGCTCAAGAGTCCGGTAATCCCAATGAAATGTCAAAAGGTTTGAGACTGGGCGAATTCTTTTATTCAGCGATGGATCCATGAGCTAGTCAAAGATACACTGGTCATCGATGGATCCATTGCTGAATAAAAGAAAGTGCCCACTTAGAAGAAAACTTAGGCCGGAGTTATTAATTCTCAAAAAGTGGTGTTTTTAAAGATTAAGAATTAAGTAATTGTCTTAATATTTTTCTTATATTATCGTTTCAAGACTCATTCATGGCTGAAGTTGAAAGAGATGCAGATCAACGATATAAAGATAGACTTATCAGAACCGAAAAAATGGAAACTTTTAAAAAACAAGCAACTTTAGCATTTCGAAGGAAAGAGTTTGAGAAAGCTTTAGTTTTATACAATAAGGTATAATTGTAAATAATAATTAAATACAAAATTAATAAAATATAGACTCACAGGCAATAGAACAAATTAAAGACAGTCCCTTACTCTACAATAACAGAGCTTTAACTTATATCAAACTAGGTTTCCCAGACAAAGCAAAAAGTGATCTCGAAAATTGGGCTTTGAAATTGAACGAAGACTGTTTGAAATCTTGGTTGTTACTGGCTAAAATAAATTATTTGAGCGGTGACGAAGAGGAATCTAAAAAATGCGTCTTGGAAGCCAAGAAAAGGAATCCAAAAGAAATTGATTTCATTGAAGGTTAGTGAAATATATCTATGGTTTACATGAGGCAATGATTATTTTTTGTTTAATATAGATTATATGAAGACGATGTACAAAGAAAGCAGAAAAAGCTAATTTATTAAAAGTTCGTCCAGATTAAAGTAGTTATTCTGATACTTTTATCCTGTCATATTGGATATAATAAATTCTTATTAAACCCATCTTTCAATAATTTTTGAAGGGCACAACTATAACGCTCATTTTTAAAAAGATTTAAATCATCAATACTTTCTATTTTAACCAGCTCTTAAAACTTCTACAAATTCAAAAATCCATATAGTTTACGAATATCTGTAGCTTGTGTTTATAGAATAGAAAGTACTTGAGTTCCAAGTTACTTTATCTGAGTTGCGGCCGGACATTGTATCACCACAGAACACTCAGGTTTGAGGACGACGCTATAAATTTGGTTAACCTGGATAATTATACGCTGTCTAACTTCAGTGGTCGGAGTATTGCAAGAGTTGGTGATACTGCCATATTCTCTCAAATTTTTTTTACTTCCGTGAAGATAGTACCAACACGAGTTTCTCCTATGGAAAAGGACTTCGAGTTTTGTGTATCTAAGGCCCGTATTTTCAGTCACACCTCAAGTTAAGGACCCCTTGCGACTTGAAGGTCGCCTTGAATAAGGACGCCTTCGTGGTTTGCGACTTTGGCATTTCATAGTAGCGAGTTAAAGCATCCTTATTGAAGGATGCCTCGTATTAGGTTTTGCAACTGGCAACAACGGTTTCTACGAAATGTCTATTGTTATTGTCATTAAGTTGTCATTGATAATATATAATTCTATGAGAAAAGGTCAGATAGCTCTAGAAACTGTAATTTTTCGTGCGAAATTTATGTGCAAAATTATGGCGACAAAGTATACTGAGACGGAAAAAATGTTCCTGGTCCAGATGGCCGCTCAACACAGGGTAATAGCTGAAAATAAAAAAACAGACGCTGTATCATTGAAGGAGAAACACGCTGCTTGGGATAAAATTCAATGTTCCTATTGTAGCCAGGGCTTTCCAACTAAAAGTGTGAAACAATTAAAAAAGTGTTGGGACAATATAAAACAGAAGTAAGTATAACGTATTGTTCTGTGAAAAAATATGCAGTACAGCTATGTCTGGAATGTTTTAGAAAAAGGCAGCAGAATACATTAGCCCGACAAAACAGGTTGTTAACGGGAGGTGGTTCTTCTAAGGAGGTCATTACTGATCCCGTTACGGATTTTGCGGGGAGTGCTTTTCCAGCAATAGATGTTGAGTTGGGGAACGACTGGGACAGCACAGCTGTTTTCGAAAAAAAAAGTTCATGCATAGGTTGAATGTTACTTAAATGAAAATCGTTTATTGCTGTATTTTTAGATTTGTTAAGCCCGTTAGCTACAAAGGGCAATGATGCAGTGATGGATAACCGAACCCCACTGTCCCCACTGAATGATGAAAGCAGCCAGTCAGAGGGTATGCAATTCATAATTGAATACTCAAATAGCCAGCTTTTCTGAATTGTGTTTTAGATGAAGCTGTGCTACCATGTCAGCCTTCAGCAGGTGCATCTATGAAGGTTGTGCCTGAACAGCTTATCTCAGCACCCATTGATCAAAAAGCACTCCATCCATCTAACAGGCGAATGCGATCCAAGCGCACATGTAGCTGTAACGACGAGTTAATTCAGCTGCAAATTAAAAAAGTGAGAGACGGCATTGCCCAGCAACGGGAGTTGCACGAAAAGCGGATGGAAGCCGCGAACGCTGAAGCCAGATTAACTATGGTTCGTCTGCTCCAGGCGGAAGAAGAGCTTCGCGATTCCCTAGATAAATAGCATTCTAACGTTCCTATTTTGTTTTAATTCAAGTTACTTTCCACTTTTGTGTTCATTTTATATATTAAATGTTTGTTTGATTGTTCTCTGTTCTGTGATGCGTTTTGTTATTATTCCTAACATGCCAAAGAAATAGAATGCAAACTCATTCAAAAATTATTTATTCCAATCGCATAATCCAAGTTGAATTTTATAAAGGCGCTAGTTGAAAATGCAGTTACTAAAAATGTTGGTGAGCAAACACTGTCCGAAATGCCAAGCCTTCTGCATTATTATCGCCCGCAGGAAGTACATTCACTATAGCATCATCAAATTCCTCGTCTAAGATGTTGTCATTATGCAAGAGTCCAATATTATAGAGCACGGCGGTTGCACATATCACAGCCATACTTGTTCTGAGCTTCGTACGTAGCCCACCTCGTAAGCAAAAAAATCGTCTCTTCCAGATTCCAAACAAACGTTCCACCAGATTCCTTGTTCTGATGTGCGCAAAATTGTATGCCTCCTCGTGAATGTCTCTTGGGTTTAAAAACGGCGTTAACAGTTTATTTGTGCAAGCATATGCACTGTCCCCTAAAAGCAATCCTGGGATTTCATTAAGTTGGAGACGAGCTCGTAGTGCACTCCTATTAAAAATGAGGCTGTCATGGCTGGATCCTGGATGCCGCACAACAATGTCTAATATTTCCAGATTGGGGCCTGCTGTTACCTTTATTTGGAAACATGACTCGTTATAGTTCAATGTAACACAAAAATGAAGCAACCCTACCTGAACATTCAATGAAAACCAGCCTTTACGATTTCGAAAAACCTCCGCATATGCTCCTCCTGGATTCCCAATCGCAATATGTGTACAATCTATGCATCCTGACACGTTTGGGAAATTTGCTATATTAAAAAACCGTGCTGTATTTCTTCGGGCTTCGTTGAGTTGACGGGGAAAGTGGACGAAATTTCCTAACTGTCTTGCAAATAATATGGAGACATTTTTCACGGTTCGAGAAACGGAAGGTTGACTGAAGCCCCGCAAGTCACCATGAACTACCTGGCAGTCCGGATTATTGCGTAAATTTATCTCTGGCTTTAAATGAACAAAATAGTTGCTATAACCTTACCTGGAAACTATTTAACGCATAAAACCTAAGCGCAATTAGCAGCTGGAAAATTGGGGGGATAGGGAGTCCCCTATTATTTATTCTATCTAAATCTTCAAAAATAAGAGGTAGAAGAACGTCGGTGATAGTATGTTTGGAAAATCGGTATCGCCGACGAAAATCTTCATCAGAATAAAATTCTAATGGATTCTGAATGTCTCGAATGTACCTTCTTGGCCTTGGCAGCACAACATCATCATCAGCGTCAATTATCTCTACAAATAAATTGTCCAGCTCCTCCATACTAATTACAGTACTAATAATAAACTTTAGAACTTTGCAAATCAATGGAATACAGTCATAGAATACAGTTCATGTAATGACACCAATTACATGACCTCTGGACATTCCTCAAGTCAAGGAAGGAAATGTGCATAAGCGGCGATAAGGACGCCTTGACAATTTTGACTCTGCAAGACAATTTACGGCCAAGGTCACCTTTAAGGAAGCCTCAGCACTTAAGTAGCCACTATGAATACCGGACTAGTGTTGTTGTTTATTTGCAGGTCACTTACTGGTTTGTGCAATTATTTTTACAAAAATTGGCCGAATGGGGTAGTACCTATACTAGGTATAAAAATCAGTAAAAAAACTGCTCGACATTATTCTATACGCTAAATGGTGATGGTATGGTGGGATACTAAATTACTTTCCAGCAAAGTGCCTTTAGAATTAGTCAGAGAAAAACAAACTGTAATTTGAATTTAGCGCATCAGCGGCGACCAATAGTATTCAAGCGGCTGACCATCTGGCATCGCTGCTCAAAATGACAGCTGACTTCAACAGTTCAACGACGTGTGGTGTCCTGTGAATCGTGTGACATGTGACATTGTCACAGGAACTTGTCTACTTTGATGTAGTAAATTTGACGTTTCGTTCTTGACGGTCAATGTCAGTGCAAATTGTGCGTTCTCAAAACCGTGATGTGTTGCCAGATTGGAAAAACTAACTACGTCACGAACTTTTATTTTCACGTAGGGGCGGGGCTATGAGGAAATTAGGAAATAGCTATTTATACAATAAGTTACGAAATGAGCGTCTTTTAGGCACGCGACGTGAAAATTGTCCAACGAGGCAAAGCCGAGTTGGACAACACGTCGAGTGACTAAAAGACATCGTTTCGTAACGTATTGTATACAAGATTTTTTCTACTGGCATTTTATAATAAAAAAATACAATTTATTTCATGTGAATAAGTCGATTACACCCAAAATCTTTGTTACCTGCTTGCCACCTGACACTTTTCATGCGATTTTCTTTTGAAAATTCGACATCAATAATTAAAATCCTAGAAAGTAGGTAATAACACAAAGTTCTGTTTTGAGTAACCCAAACGTTCAATTCAGTAATTCCATTTTCAATATTCATAATAAATACAAAACAAAATTCAAATATGTGTTTAGTGTGTTTTTTATTTCTGAATAATGAATGACACTTTTAGGCACTAGTGCTTAAAAATTACTTTTACGCACTCATAAGTCACTTTTACGCATTCAAAAGTCACTTTTACGCACTGAGTGCCTAAAAGTAACTTTCACGCACTCAGTGCCTAAAAGAATGTCGTTTCAAAACTGAAATGACAATCGAAAAGTTGCTATTATGAAACGTCAGTAGAAAAAAAAAATTGCAGGCTATTGCGGTTTTTACAAAGAAACTGATCACACTAAACAGTATGATACGTCGAGTATATCACTAAATACGTAGTAGTTAAAAATCACTTGTATACTACCCCTATAGGTTGGCGGTGATTTTATTTTCAATTTTCAATGTTAGAATGATGAAAATGTTATATTTTGCTTGATGGCTCATTTGAGAGCTAATGGCTTGGTTTCTCACGTCAATCAAAATACAAGAGTCACCTCTAATAATGCGTCTCAGTCAGTGGATAATATTTTTCTATTAGGAGATACTCATGTATGACAAATATGTATGACGCACTTGTATGCTAGTCTGTAGTCAGCTTAACATCAATATTGACCTTTTACTTCTATCAAGTGTGCATGTCGTGTCTGACTATTATGGACAGGTGCTGGATTTTGGGATGCCCAAGGTTGAGTCCCTGCCAAAGTATATTAGGAAAAGAACATTTAGCAAGGAAAACTTAGTTTAATTTTTCTAATTATCTTTCAAATGAGGATTGGGATGAGTTGTATCAGTCAAATGGCGTTGAAGGAAAATATTCAGCATACCTATTTCAATATTTTCAGTTACCATTTTGATATTGCATTTCCAATGTCTTCCACAAAAGTAAAAAATGCCACTCACTGAAAACGTTATTGAAAATAGTGGTAACTATCCATCAATTTTTTCTGGAGCCAGTTGACCCACAGGAGATTATCATAATTTTGATGTCGCTCCTTAATAGGTATTCTTCAGGTCCTGATGGACTTCCTGTCTATGTGTTAAAATTTTGTAGCTCTCTTTGTGTCTGAGCCTTTGACTAATGTTCTTAGAAGGGCTAAAGTGGTTCCAGTGTTTAAGAAAAGAAATTATCAGGATATTGGAAACTACCGTCCAATTTATGGTTGGTCCAACTTCACGTTGCTTTTGGTGGTTATCTTTTGAATGTGTTGGTTTCATGTCAGCTTCATATCTAGTATGATATCCAGAAGTTTACCCATCCCTACCAAACTCCCAGGTTTTTTGGAATAGACTGGGGGTTATCAAGTCCTTTTTACGATTTGCTTATGCTTTATGGTTCAATCCCAATCTTATCAGGGTACTATTTTTAAGGAAATGTTCCTGGGACAGTGTTCACAGTGGCGTATCCAGGGGGGGGCAAAGGGGGCAATTGCCCCCCCCCCAGAGCAGCAACCTTTTATTTCTTAAAAATATCTCAAATAACAAAAAATAATATTTTCTACTCGCGTGCGCAAAGTAATTACTTTGCACACTCATTTGCGTGCGCAAAGTTGCGTTTCTGGATAAACTAATATTCAAAAAGAAGGGCTTGATGTTATTTTTGTTCCAAGAAAGGTTTTCAGGTAATGTTTAGCATTTTTAATTTGAAATTTTTCGTATGAGGAGCGAGGGGAGGAAAAATCCAGCAAAAACAGTTAGGTGTGAGGTGTGAGGTCAAGTGACCATTGGCGTGGGCAGCCACCCACTCATATTCCTCCTGACTAGTCCTGACTTATTTGTTTTTTAAATTGTTGTTTTTCAAATTAAGAAATGTTAGGATTAAATTTTATAGATACATTTTTGGAATTTTCATATGTATAATAAATAGGTAGTGATTTTTTTACACTATTTCACTATTTTTCATTGCATTTTTGACGTGTGTAAGTTCTGAGTATAATAACATTCCTTTGGAGTATCAGATCATTAAAGTTGGACAGTAAGTTATACTCCTCCATATACTTCCCAACCCAATGGTGTCGCGGAAAGAATGAATCAGACATCAATGGACAAAGCAAGATCTATAATAATGAAATAATGCAAGCAAAAATGGACAGGATATTTTGTGAAGATGCTGTACTTGCTATGTAAAACTAATTCAAAAAGTCACATGAAAAAATAATTATCCTGGTATAATAAGTTTAGTCTCAAAATTAGGCAGGAAAAACAAATTCTAAGTAAACCTCGCTAGCACAACCACTGTTGCAAATAAAGTCAAGGTGATCACTGAAAAAAAAACACATTTAAGGCCGCGTTAATGGCCGCCATGTTTAAACTGTGATTGGTTGATTTTTCGAAACTTGTTTTAAGGTCTTTAAAAAAACGGCACATCAGAATTATTGGCTCAAATTTGGCATAAACATTATTTGATCGATTATCTACAATTCCTTATTTTGGTTTTTCGATATTCAGCCTTTTTTTTTAAATTCAAAAATCATGTTCGCAACCAACAAAACAATTAAATGTGTTGGTGGTTGCATATTTGCATGTTTATCAAGCTTGGATCCGTGAAAAGCATATTTTATTGATAACCACGAAAAACTAAAAAAACTAAAAAAAAACTAAAAAATTATAGAGATTGTAAATAATATATCAAATAATGTTTATGCCAAAGGATTTTGGAAATTATTGCGGATTTTTTGAGATGACCTTAAAACGAATTTTGAAGGTGTAAACAGTTCAAGCAATTTCAAGTAGATGGCGTCACGGCAAAAAAGCTACATTGGGACCATCATAATTGTATATTTGTTTTTCTCTGTCACTAAGCGTTTCACCGACAAAGAGATTTTGTTTTGGACAAAAAATCAAAAATTGAACCGTATGTGTAGAGTGACGCAGTCATCATTTTCAAAAACTAAATTTAAACATGGCGGCCATTAACGCGGCCTTAACTATAAGAGCGAAAATTACCAGTTTTGAGCATCCGGAAACATTTAAAGAAGATTAGCTCCTTTGGATGCTATGCAAATCTTCAAATACTCGTAGAAAAAATATTGTTTTTAACACTTGCGCAAAGTGTATTTCCCGCACTCAAAGCTTATTTTTGCGCACTTGCGAATATGCCATCAAGATGTGTGTGTGTGATTTTAACGACTTTCGGGCAATTCCGCCTCCGGCGGACATCGGGTGTGCCCCCCCCAGAGCCTCAGGCTGGATACGCCACTGAGTGTTCACATTGCTAATCTAGGTATTTGGTATTTATTTTTCCTCTGCCTATAACTCCAGAGAAATTCCAAAGCCGAAACTTCTGCTGATCGATTTGAAAATGTTTCAAGCGTTCTCATAGACCCAACCGATATTGAGAGGGCTTCAAAGCAAGTGGACATCAACAAAGTCTGCAGGAACGGATGGTATTTCTAACTAAGCACTAAAATCTTGTTCTAACACTTTGTATCTCCCTCTATTTATTATTTTTAACAAATCCTTAACCTCAGGAATTTTTCCAAAAATGTGAAAGCTCTTTTTTATGTTTATCCTATTCACAAGTCAAATGAATGAAATGAAATCGTTTATTTAAATGTCGTGAGTCTCATTTTAAAAGAAACACCAAACACTACATGTACTATAGAATTTTTAATACCTATTTAGAAGTACCTGTCGTTTTAGTGACAAAACGTATGTCGCTTCTTGACACACAAATAAAATCAGGTTAGGAATTTCCTATTTGTAGATGAAATTGACGTATTAGCAATCGACGTTCGTTTTTGTTGGACTGTTGGTAATTTTTTGTTTCATCTGATTCGTGATTGATAAATAAGGATGAGGTTATTCTAAATGGGTATCACAAATACATAAATGAACATCCAACTTGATTTTTTTCAACGATTTTTTATTAATAGAATTCAGTAGATTGTTACCTAGAATCTATAATTGCTAGTTATAGGGAAGGCAAAATATGATTTGTTTTCTTATTATTATTATTATTGTTATTATTAGTTTGGATAATAAAAACGGATTAATTCTCAATACAAAATTTCAAAATATTTAAAGCGGCTTTATCTCTTGGACTTAACAATACACACTAAAAATCTAATAAAACACGCAAACAATATAAATAATGTATAATATAATTTGTTTTCTTGATAAATTGCTTGTTTCAAGATGTATAACTCAAAAACTAGATTATATGTTCATCTAAAAAGGCATCTTGGTATTCAATTTGAATATATGTAACATGATATTTGTTTTGGATGATTAAACTGCAAACAGATGCAGAATTGTCACAATTCAATTATTTTTTTGGTTTTGGATAACCACCGATAAATATTAAAAAACAAATACAAAATTCAAATTATAACAACCAAGACTAAACAAACATTCCTTATTTTAAAAAAATGGTGTGCGTCAATATACAATTTTAAACAATAAACTAAGGGGATATAGAACATCATAAGACCTTATAATATATACAGGGATTTTTTGACAAAAATTAGTTCAGTCACAAACAAGATTATGTAGTTTCAAAAAAATAAGCTAGCAACTGATTTTATTTTGTTGAAGGCTGGCATTAACAATTTTTTGATCAGTTTCTCTCTGATCCAAAGAGTATTTACGAGTATTATTTAGAAATATTTTATTTGCTTAAATACACTGGAAAATAATTTGAAAAATTGCCTTCAATAGTTTTGTTTTACATAGAGATATGTTGTCTTTTTAACTTTGAGGCTTGTGGATGGACTTATTAAGCGGTCAACAATCTACACATTTTTAAAAAAAGAATTAATTTTTTCGGATAATTCCCTCAATAAACTTGCTACTTATAATCAGTAAAAAATATATATATATATATATTTATTTATAATGTATACACTCTTTTAGAATAACATCCATAGGATACCTACAATGCTTTCTGCCAATGTTGCTTTTGGATAGTCACTAGCCTGTTTAATTATAGAACAAACACTTAATTACCATACGGAATTTACATACTAATTTCAAAATAGTCTTTTGTGGCTGGGTAATTTTTTGCTGAAATTCGGATATTGTTGATACCTAAAAAATCTATTTATTTTTCCAATTCCGTTGGTCAGCATTTTTTGCATATAAGTGTATTTTATTGCATTATATTTCCATTATTAAAAATAAAGATTTCTCACAGCTCTATGCGACAACAATAAAATGTAGAATAAAGAATTATTGAAGAGTTCTTAGGAAACTATTGATTGATATTGATAAAGATAAATCAATAATGCACATTTATGTAAGAATAATTCATTAAATGTTTTTTTAATTATTCTATAAAAAAAAAACACACTTCAAGAATCTAGAAAAAAAGTTCAATTTCCAAGCCAATTTTTCCTAATTATTGCACCATCAAATCGATACCCAAACACTCTCGAATGACGTCGGAATTTCTTTAAAAAATGAGCGCCTACCTATCTACCTATCTATAGTATACTGCAGCGTAGCTTAAAGGGAAAACCACGTCCGGTGCCCTGAAACTTGTTGGATTTTCGCCCTTTATGGAACTTATCCTTTCTAATTTCACGGACTAGAGAATAAAACGCGTCGTCCACGCCCATTCTTGTTTTGGCCGACGTTTCTATAAAGGGAATATTGTATTGCTTCGCGATCTGGAAAATATTTGAAATTATTGAGTGCTTTTTGTCATCTACTAAGTTTATAACTAATCATTCAATGATGATAATTTTAGGAGAATCTTGACTACAATTTATCATAAAAACTTACATCTCGAGCCCTATTCATATCAACCACCCAGGCGGATAAGTCACATTTGTTTCCAACTAAAACCATAGGTACTTCTTCTGTGTCTTTGACTCGAAGAATTTGCTCCCTGTATACTACTATGTCGTCAAAACTCTTGACAGAATTTACAGCAAACACTAACAGAAATCCTTCTCCTGTTCTCATGTATTGGTCACGCATTGCGCTGTATTCTTCTTGTCCTGTAACCAGAAATAGAATTCATGAAACAATTGTTTTACTATGTAATTCCTATGTTATTCCTATGGAGTCTTAGGAGATTCCTAGTAATTCCCAGGTTATTCCCAGGGACTCCCAAGTGATTTCCATGTATTCCTAATTGATTACTATGTGATTTCCAAAAAAATGTACAATGATTTCTACTAGTGGTCTACCTGAGAAAAAAAGCTTGAACAAAGAATTTGTTCAAGAAGAAACTGATATCTAAAGTAGCTATACAGGGTGATTTACTTAGCCCTTGTATTAGCTTGCAAGTGAATTAGATGTTATTTCTTAGTGTCAATACCAAAGGGTAGAGATTAAAGTGTGGTAAGGTTACCGCGGTAACGGTAATTTTGGTAATTTAATCCGACAAATTTCTTTACCCGTAATTTTCAGAAAGGCTTCCTGAATAAAATCACATTCAGACGATAATATTTTTCATGCAATATTCGCCTCGTTATTCGCCATCTAGTTGTGAATCTGTATAACGCGCTTTCAGGGTTGGCAGGAACAAATAATTATTTACCTAACAAGTGCCGAAAGTGGTGCTTTTCCACCCGCGACGGTAGTTGGCAAGCTGCCAAGGGTGGAAAAGACATTTTTCGCAAGAGTTAGGTGTAATGTTTTTCCACAAGTATCCATCTCATTAGGAGATGAGGAGAATTTATTTTTGTTTGATTTTCTTTGCTTGTTTTCCGTTCCACGAATTAGGTATTATTATTTGTTTATTGCAATATTTCTACAAGGTTAGGTTTTACAACAAACACTATTATGATAAATGGCTGTTTAGGTAAAAAATCGAAAATTACTGGTAAACTTTAATCTCTATCAAGGGGCAAACCACCTAGGAATTCTTTGCCAAAAATGTGGGAAATTTAGAGGAATTGTGGGGAATTTGTAGGAATTCATCCGAATTTATGAGAATTTGGGGAATTTATAGAGAATTTGGAGGAATTTATGAGGAATTAGAAGGAAATTGTCTCGGAAATTGTCAAATTTAAAAAATTCAAAAGAATAATAAATACAGCCTGTATTTTCAATTAATTCAGTTATTGTAGGTTGATTTCCAAGATTTTTCATGTTGCTGTTTTCCACTGGAAAATATTGAAATTTTGGGAAAATGAGCTTCTCACCTTCCTCTTAACATGCAAAAAGTTTCAAAATTTTCCCTTCTCTAGTTTTCCAGGAAAACTTTGAAATGTGTGAGACTGTATTTTCAATTAATTCAGTTATTGTAGGTTGATTTTCAAGATTTTTCATGTTGGTGTTTTCCACTAGAAAATTTTGAAATTTTGAGAAAATGAGCTTCTCACCTTCCTCTTTACATGTAGAAAGTTTCCAAATTTTCCCTTTTTTTAGAGGAATTTTTGGGTTATTTGGAGATGTTTGTGGTGGGGTATTTGGAGAAATTTGTGATAGCGTATCTGAGGGAATTTGCAGGAATTTTGAGGAATTATGCGAAAAAGATTCTCCTTTGAGGAATTGTTTGCACCAATAGGGTACTTGCATGGAAAATTAAATTGATTATTGTTTATTGCAAACTGTAGGAAATCACAAAAAAATCGTTACTTTGTTTTATTTCGCCCAAATATGATTATTCCGGAAGTTATTCAAATATTAAGTTTTGTATATATAGATATACTGAGCATGTGCAACGTCACTAATTTATTAGATAAGTGACGTCATAGGCAGATTTCAAAGTCTTGTATCTCCGTTAATTTTTGACTAAGAAGAAAAAGAAAAAACACTTAGTGACTTATTTTTCATGGACTATCGAAATCAGCAATAAAAAAAAATTGATGCAAGGAGTCTATTGTCCAATTCTGGGATGGTGGTTTACCCCTTGGTCAATGCTATGCAATACCTACTTGTTAATTATATAGGTAATATATGTCAATATTTGTAGATAGGGTTGGCAAATGACCGGTCAAATATCTTTCGTTCAGTTGACCAGTCATTTGTCAAATTGCTCCGGTCAAATACTCCAGTAGTGGGAAGCATGATGCCATGACGGTAACATTATTGCCATCATGTATTGCTGGTCTAGCCCCGAGGTATAACATAACAAGGGCAAATACTCAAAGACAGACATAGAAAAGATTTCTAATTGTTTCTTTTGAAATATTCACCTGAAATTCTGAAAGTTACATTTTCAAGGCCAGTTTATTCACCTTCTGATAAACTGTCAGGTATGCAATCTAGGTAAAAATACAATCTGTGAATCTGTAATTCCATTGGGTCAGTAAGTTATCCGCTGACCGCTGACCAATAGAATTATAGAACGGTATATTTATCAAGCATCAGATAGTTAGCAGCTAGTTTATTTGGAGATGAATAAACCAAGCCTTAGTGGTTTTGTTTTTCTTTTCATAAAAAAAGTGTTGATTTTGGCCAAAGGAAACAAGTTTTGTTTGTTTCATTTTCTAGAGAAAAAAATTGCTTAATTTTTTATACAAGAAACTATTGCTTTTGCAGGTAGTTTTTTTTTAAATTGGTCAAATTGATTTGGTCAAATATTCTAGCATCGGTCAAATTGACAACTTTTGACTGGTCAATTGACTGAGGTGCCATCCCTACTTGTAGATATCTATCTTAGAGCAGGAAAGCGCTGTCCTACGGACATAAGGAGTAGGAACGCGCCATTCTGCTTATGAAACTAAAGTGAAGTTAAGTTTTTGACAGGTGTTTGAAAACGGCTTCATTTTCCAAATCCAGGTTACTACTCCTCTTTACCTTTACCTGCTCTAAGATATCTATGGTCGAACCAAATCCAAGCGGCAGTAAATGACAAACTGGTCATTTTCATTAAAACCTATCAAATGTTCTTCGTGCATACGCACTGGTCTAGGTATGGCGTTTCAACCAATAGGAAGGCTGGTGTTTGTTTACAATTTAGGTTATTGAATGCATGGCAATATGTGGAAATATTTTGTTAATACATGGAAATAGCTTGGTTAGTACCGAGGTTAGTACTGTTAATCGGTATACAAATTTAGTTGGGTGAAAAACCCCTCGGGCTATGTATATCAGGGTATATAGGTGAATAGGTACCTACTTCAAACACATAATAATAAAATATTATCCGAGATATTATCCCAAAAGTGATGACCAATATTTCAAGGTTGTTATATGTGAAAAGCCTTCTCAACAAACAAAAACCCTTACCTGCAGTATCTAAAATGTCCAATAAACAAGTTTCTCCATCAATAACAACTTGCTTCCTATAAGAATCTTCAATAGTAGGATCGTATTCGTCGACAAAATGATTCTGTATCAATTGAATAGTAAGTGCAGACTTGCCTACACCTCCAGCTCCCACAACTACCAATTTATACTCAGTCATTTTATGGAAATTTGATGTACTTAGCACAAACTACAAACTGTACTTTTGAGGGGCTTCCCACTAGACTAGTGAGCTTTGAATGCAACAAGTTAAAATTAGGACTTGCAACAAAGAAGTTGAAATCTGTAGCCTGAGAAATTGCACCAGGAAATCAAAAAATAAAATTACAAAACTAAAAAATATACACACACAAGACACTGGGGGGGTTAGTAACCTATGCTATTTTGTATGGGCCTATTTTGGGCGTACGGACTTAAACCATTTCAGAGGCTTAATTTAAAGGAATGCCATATCCGTGTATCTATTAAGGTTAGTCATAAAATGTGTTAAGTAGCGGCTTTAATTAGTTTTAATTTGTTGGAAAAATCGCAAACTCAAACAACAAAATTATTTTAAGACATTTGTGATTGTGTCATTTCGTTTTGTTGAGGAGTATTTTTTTTTTTTTTTTGGTTAGTCACCCTGTCACCTGTCACTGGAGCGCTTTCATAAAAACTTGCCCCAGGTTGAAACTAATAACCCAGAGTCGCTTTTCAGTGACGCACTTCAAGCACTCCTGAGCTGCTCTAGAGCGCCCCGGGCTGTTTATAGGCGTTTCAGTGCACCAGAGCCGCTTTTCAGTATGGGAGTGTGAAGCCCGGAGCTACTCGGGGCGTGGAGCCCCCGAGTTGTACGTACGCGTCAACCTATCAGCTGTTACATCTGTGGGTGGCTATTTATCTATTTATTTCTTGTTATATCTCAAGATTGAACATTTTAAAATATATAGTTTTGATTCTCTTTCATTTTTGATAAATAAAAAAACAAACTGCACAAACAAATAGATAATTATTTTTAAAATTTGACATATTTGACACTAAGACAGGCGTCTCACGCCATGATACTGGAACGGTACAAATTTAGTGCGTGGCGCCCCCGAGGTGCTCTGGAGCGCGCCAATGTGCATACTGGAAAGCGGCTCAGAGTTTCGAGTACATGAACTGTTCGTTTTTCAAGGTTTTTCCTCCTCTTCCCCGTCCTCTCAAGCACCAGCAATTTTATGCATCAGAAACGCGAAACCTAAAGTAGGGTGTGTGTAAAACAACAGTTGTTTCGCCGCTATATTGGTGTGTCACCATTTCCGACGGCATAACTAAGTCGTTAGCTGTTCAAACAGCCTACGTCAAGGAGAGATATAACATGCTGTTACGTCACAACTGCTGATTTGGCCTGGGGAGGAAGAGGGGGATTTGTTCCACACAGGCTTTATGAGGATAGGCAATCATGTAGAGTAGTAGTATGCATCATCCTTGGTGTAGAGCATCCTAAAATTCGTCACTGAAAAGCAGCTTAAATATCAGGTACCCGACCGAAATGATATATCGGTTCCGGTCCACAGCCTCATGGCAAATATCGGTTCCGTAATGGTTCTGGTTCTAGGAGAAATATTTCGTTTCGGTTTGGACCAATAATTTCGGTTTTAACGGTTCATACCGGTATAATTTTTCCTTATGATTATCATTAATTACAGTTTGCATTTTTTAACTTTGCCCATGCGTCATCCTAGGCTGTGTTCGTTTTTGTCATTTTTTTCGTCGATTTGTTCCGAAACTTTGACTGGCGCGTGACTGGATCAGACAGTTTCAATTTACAAATCACGTGCCTGATGCACTGCGGAGCTAATCGGAAAAGATAACAAGATTATGACACACGGAAAAGATGAAAAATATAAACTGTAAAGTTTGTCGATTTTAGGGTGGGTATTATAAAGCTGCTCTGACAGTTAACTTGAATTTAACTTATTGAATAACATGTAATTCAAGAAGTTAACTTTAAGTTAACTCTCAAAGTAGTTTTATAATACCCGCTCTTAATCTGATACTCGAAAGGAATGTGAGCTGGTGGTACCCTACATTAGAACGCCAATGGTCACCTGACGTACACCTGTTTTTGCCATATACTTTACTTTTCTCGCTCCTCATACGGAAAGTGTCAGATAAAAATCTACGAAAAATAAGGGCGGGTATTATAAAACTACTTTGAGAGTTAACTTAAAGTTAACTTCTGGAATTACATGTAATTCAAAAAGTTAACTTCAAGTTAACTGTCAAAGCAGTTTTATAATACCCGCCCAAAGTGGTATTTTATTGCCATTTGAATAGACTTTCAAATAAATTTTAAGTAATATTTGAAAATAAATAAAAATCTCAGGCTTCCACCCCACCACACCTAAGTACCAGTGATGACCTGCGCAGCGTGTCGATTCTCGTCTTAACGTAGGATGTTTCATGTTTCATCACAGGTTATGATTGCGCTGATTTTTACTTCACGCATTGCGCATATATATTTGGTTTTATCACACTATTCAACATTGTAATCGCCGTTTGCACTGACCATTCTAAGGGAGGTTTACGATAATCAACGCCTAAATTGACATTTGTAAAAATAACGCCATGTAACACCATAAAACAACCCTTGTTTAGCTCTCGCTTAAATCTTCCTCTTTGCCTATTATGTTAATCAAAACAATTAAATATTATTTTTCATCATACATGTAATAATAGGCAATTTTTCGCGAGGATAATCAAACATAAGACTTCTTTTTCTGTTTTAAAACGTTTCAAAACTGGTTCGATTGCTACACGTCTCATATCGGCGGTGACTGGTTGAACCGTTTCCGTATATTACGTCACCGATGCAACACCAAAATGTAGCGTTATAAAACGTTTCAAAACATTCCGTCAGAAAAAGATGTCCATAATCTGTAGGCTCAGATGTTATGTTTCAATTGTGTCATACTCTACTATCTCCCTCTCCAACCGATTCTAGGCCTGCGATTGACGTCACTATCAGCCGTTTTTAGTGATGACGTCACCCGCAGACCTCGATGGAATGCTTGGGATTCAGGCTGTGCAGACGGCTGTGGCTGTGCTAGTGAGTTAATTTTTTTGTCGATCTTAAATGTAGAAAAGGTGATTATCGGTCTGTTCTCACAGTGTTCTTGATCCTCGAGTATCCCAAAATTTGATGGTGGGGGCATTAGGGGAGCATATTCGAGTATGCTTGGTTGATTATCCTCCCGAAAAATTGCCTAATATAACTACGAACACTGGCGCAAACCGCTAACGACAACGTTGATGACGTCGGCAACAGTGCAACATCATATGAACTTGATTCCAAAAAGCGTGGCCGATGAGCAATCCTGTAGTAGTGTGTAAGCCTAGTCGAGGTCAGAAATGCGCGCTTTCCAACGCTCTGTTTTTTGTTTTGGAGTGTATAATTTATTAAGAAAAGACGACGAAACAGCAAACAGTTTAATTTATGAAATCTTGAAACCGGAAAATACCGGTAAGAACCGATTAATTTATATTGGTTCTGGTCCAGCCTGCTTTACTGTATGAAATATGGGTTTCGTTACGGTTCCGATCTGCAAAAAGAAACGGTTCCGTTTCCTTTTTCGATTTAATATCGTTTCGGTCCGGGTCCGTGCCAAATATTTATTAGTTGTGAGTTGTGATTCGAGTTGATGCTTCATTGTTTAAAAAATAGTGGATGGGAATGACGGAATTTTAATTAAAATGGACCATTCGAACTACACTAATGGAGAAACTTATTTCTTTCGTTGCACTAGCTGATGATTTTCAATAGTTGTATTCCTTTTACACTTAGGAGCAGCTCCGGAGCATTACGCGCTTATTCCGTTCGAAAAGTGTTTGTTGCACCACGCATCTGATCCACTATCTGATCCTTTCAAATCGGGGCGATTAACAACGGAACGAGTAGGTCGAGTGTTTTAACTCTTGAAAGGAATACAACATATCTAAAGTGCGTTTTTTTTTAAAGATAAAAGTCAAACTGACAAGGTTGGCAATACAATGTAAAATTGTCAATGCCTTCAAATTTTTAATGTAGAAAAGGCTTGTGTCTTTACTAAATTTTTGACCTGGGGAATTATCTTTAAAAAAAAAAAAGAATTTACTACTCGGAAAACAGTATAATTGTTCCGAGCAGATTTTGTCCCCTTTCCATTCAATTTCAATGAGAGAGAAAAAGACAGAAAATATTTTGAAGTTTAGGCTATAATCTAACCTAAAAAAAATCAGCTGATTGTTGTTTGTGTTTCTAGATAATTTATTTAAAATTTGAAAATAATAAAATGTAAGTAGAGTATACAGTAAATTTGATTTTCCATTCAAGATTCTCCAACACAACTTCATGCTTTATTTTTCAGATTCTCAAATGGCAAAATTAGCAACTCTCCGTGGTTTGATTCAGGAACTCCGATATGCAGTTCCAAATGCCACTCTAAAAGATAATCTTGCTTTCCAGTATATCATGAAACAGTACCGTAAATACAATACTACAGATCAACAATTATGTAAAGCCCAGTAAGTACAATTCACCATATTAGTTAGGTTAGAATCGCAAATTGGCGCGGGTTCCTAGTTCAAAAATTAATACATTGATGTCTTATGGGGACTCAATTTTAAAAGCGTCTGTAGACGTGATAGAATGTTTGTTAGGGAAGTGAGTTGTATAAATAGTTTTTTTAATATGTTAATTAACTGAGAGAGTGTTTGAAAGTTGAATAAACATTGTTAAAATAAAAATATTACCAATTCAAGAAGCCTATGTTTGTATAAAATACGTATGTCGTTGCTTGATCCATAAGTATATATTAGGCAATTCAAACCATGTGACATTCAAGATGGCGTGGCGGCCACACATGGGCCCAAAAACACAAAAAAATATCTAGTTTCTGCCCGACTTAATAGTTTACGTACCTCATCAACAAATATTTGATAAAATAATCAAAATCAAAGTTGCAAACAAAACTCTAAGCAAAATAATTTAAAATACGCATAAAAACATATTCAAAACAAACTTGCTTGGCCGACACGCCATATTGAATTTTCCTTTTTGACAGATGGATTGAATTGCCTAATATGGGTACCTACATACTTGGTTAGTAGATGTACTTCCAATAAACCAAAAAAATGGAAAAACAAATGACTGAACCAGTGATAAATAAATAAATAAACAATTCACCAACAATCATAACACAACACACAACCTCACTTTCTTACAGCTGATTTTAGACCCGACGTACGTCCACCGAAAACAGACACTTTTAATTAAAATCATTTGTATTTTTAATTCTTAGGTCTAAAAAACAATTAAAGCATGAATTATAGAGAAATATGTTCAAAGTTTGACCTATGATAGGTTCAAATACTAAGAAATGCCCAGAACCCAAGATATTCCCGTCTGAAAATCACTCTTTTGAATCCCCCATAAGAAATAAATTGCTGTCAAATTTGTTGAAATGTGTTTAGGAACCCATTTTAAATTTCGCGCCCGATTTTTCTTAACCTAACTAATATGGTGAATTATTATTATTGAGTCAATTTGCCAACAAAGTTTTGACTTGGGGAATTATCTTAAAAAAAAAAAACAGCCAAATTGGCCCACTCTGTATACCTACCCATTTAATGCTGCAACAATATTTTTGTTTGAATGGGCCACTTTCATGTACCGGGAATATGGCAAATTATGATATTTTTTTGACGCAGATACATCAATACCTCGATCAATGCAACCGAGAATGAACAAGATTTTGCAAGATTTTTAGTCAAATTATTAAATAAATTAATAAATAAAAACTAAAAATTTAAACGAAAAATCACGTGATTGAAAACGATCTCTGATTGGCTAGAGCCGATTTTGACGTTTTTGTTGCCACATGTAGAAATGTCAAATTTAAATGAGTTAATAAGGCTTATAGGTACATATCCTTTATTTTTTTATAATGTAGTAAAGGACGAAAATAGTTTCTAGCTAGTGAAATGTGTAATGATTTACTAATGAGAAATTTGGCATCCTCGCATTTTTGTTGATTTTCTGGTGTGTGACGTCACAAACCAAGTTCGCGTTTTCGCGCCAGTTTAAAAATTCGATTTTTAAATAATTTTTTTTTCAAAAATAAGCGTTTTTGTTCGGAAAAAAGTATACAGATAGTATTAGAATGACTAAAAGAATAATTTAAATATGTTTTTGAAAAATGTGAAAGTGGCCCATTCGAGGGGGTAACATCTTCTTAAATTTTGTGACAGTATTGCGACAATCCCTATGATTTCCCTACGATTGCTGCGATTGCGACTACAATCCCGGGATTGTGATGCGATTGTTGGATTTTGGAGGATTGCAATGTGCATATGATTGTGAATGATTGCAGACGATTTTGAATGAATGCAGACAAATGTGAATGATTGCAGACGATTGTAGGCGATTGCAAGTGACCAAGAAAGGTTTTTGGTAACTGCTTGAGTTACTGAGTTACACTGAAATATATATTAGATTATTAATCCACAAATAAAAATAGGAGTAAATATATGAACAAATATATATTTTGCTATTCTCTAAAGGATATCACTCGGGATTTCAAAGTAAGTAGTATTTTTAATACCCATTTAGAATAATTTCATCCTTATTAATCAATCACGAATCAGATGAACCAAAAAATTACCAGCAAAAACGAACGTCGAATGCTAATACGTCAATTTCATGTACGGGTTATTGGTTATAAATGTCACCCCCTCTATCTTTTTTAGTTGATATTTTAGAAAAAAGTGTCCTGAATAAAAAAATGATCGTTGAAATTACATTTTTTGAAAAAGTCACTTTTGCATATACAGGGTGTTTCAAAAAAGTTGGTCGTGCTTCAACTTTCTTATTTTAAATTGAATACCCTATATATTATTTAATATTCAGATTTTACGTCAAATTCTGAGCAGATTTCATGTGATATACCCTATACCTAAGTTCAACTGTTTTGGAAATATTGACAGTTGAAAATTGAGTTTTTCGCAAATTTGACAGGCTGTAAAACCTAAACGGTTAACTTTTGAGCAAAACCGATCTTACATTTTTTTCTAAGATTTTCACAAGTTATCATTTGACACCAACTTTGAATTTAACCGAAGATTAAATTCAATTGGAATTTTCAATCAGGGATTAAATCTCGGATTAAATTCAAAGTTGATGTCAAATATTGGTGTCAACTGATAGTTTATAAAAATCTAAAATAAAAATGTAAGATCGGTTTTGCTCTAAAATTAACCGTTTAGGATTTACAGCCTGTCAAAGTTGCAAAAAAGTCAATTTTCAACTGTCAATATTTCCAAAACAGTTGAACTTGGGTATATGGTATATCACATGAAATCTGCTCAGAATTTTACGTAGAATCCGAATAATATACAGGGTATTCTATTTGAAATAAGAAATTTGGAGCACGGCCAGCTTTTTTGAAACACCCTGTAGGTATTTAATTTCAACCGTAAAACTTTTATTTGGGACACTTTTTTCTAAAATGTCAAATAAAAAAGATAGAGGGGGTGGCATTTATAACCAATAACCCTGTACAAACAGGAAATTCCTAACATTATTTTATTTGTGTGTTCAAGAAGCGACATACGTTTAGTCACTAGAATGTTTGGTACTTCTAAATAGGTATTAAAAATTCTATATAATATGGGTATGTACAGGGTCTGTTCCTTATAATCAGTGCGGCTTCTACAACTTGTGAAAATAATAAAAAAAATTAAGTAGACACAAAAGTTTCAGGGTTTTATTGATATTTCTACTTATTATATTTTGCACATGTCAAAAGGGGCAAATGACAAATGCCAACTGTCATACACTTGCATTTTTCAAATGGAACACCCTGTATATTTGTTGATAAAATGATAGATTATTTTCTTCTGATTCCAGATATACCAAAAATGTTGATATTTGGTTTAGCTGTTTTTCAATATTCAAGTTAAAAAATGCATTTACCGAGGCATTTACGTTACCTTAAATCACGTCTGTTTCCAGTTGCATATTCATTTTTTGTTTCCAGTTCCTCATATCAATGGTGAGGCTTACTTGATGCAATTTTAAACTTGATTAGCGTAAAAATAGCTGAGCCAAAAATCAACATGGTATATTTGGAATCAGAAAAAAAAATCAATCATTTGAAAAAAAAAATGCGAGTCTTGGTCATTATGACAGTTAGTACTTATAGTTTGTCCGTTTTGACATAAAGGAACTGTCTTTTGATCTAGTTAACAAAAAATCAATTAGTTTAAGCAAAGTTATAATGTCCCAAGATCTAGAATAAACAAATTTGAACAGCCCGACAGTAATGCGAACAGGGCGCCATCTATCATAAAAATGCCTTAAAGCACTATGTAAAGTAGGTATCTGTAGTGTCAATGTAAAACCAGTAAATAGTAATATTTCCAATATAGTAGATGGCGCTGACTTGGCTCAATTTTGTTGACAAAAAAATTTACACTGAGATTCCATTCTCGACAGTTTATATAGTATTTATCTCTGGTTTTGATTGTGGTTTTGACATGTGCCATATAATAGAACTAAAACCCCATTAACTTTTGTATTTAACTTTTTTTTGTTCAAGTTGTAGAAGCTGCACTAATTATAAGGAACATACCCTGTACTTGTAACAAAGTTGAATGGATACATACATTTTTGGGATCTTGAACCTATTTTCTCGATATTCACCTTGTCTTGCTTTCTAAGATGAATTTTTTTTCCTTGCAAAGCAATGGGACCACAAAATATATATTTTTTTCGCACCTATTTGTATATCTTCATCTTGCCAAATGTAATCATCAAGACCTCTTCTGACATTTTATACTTTATATCAACATCTAACGTCTCTATGATCCGGCAATTACATCATGTATCATATGCAGCAGCTTCATTTTTCAGAGACACTTCTTCGCAAAATGTATTTTCTTCTGCTTTCATTTCCCAATTCATTTTTTTTCTGAATAGCTCCCACTTTCAGAGGTTTTGGCATCTTCCATGTTTGGAGCCCTTTTTGATTGCAGTTTCTTATCTTTGCTCTTTTGATATAGGCTCTATTTCTACTATTTTGTTACTTTATTTATTTTTTTGACAACTTTGCATACTTATGCATCTGAGATTTCTATCTGTTGATGATAACTCGGTTGATAACTTTCCGTTTTTATTAGAAAATAGCCAGCACAGTGTTTATTTTTTCACCAACAAATTTTTGTCCTAAACTTTTATTTTTAGAAGGCTAGGGTCTAATGTTTTTGAATTATTGTGATCAGTGTAGTCCTCAATATCTAGTAAATCGTAGTTTGAAAGTGAATTCCATTATTCCTACATAACATAGCATTTAGCTCTTCAATGGTATCTTCACTAAATAATTCATTTTGGCTTGACATAACATCTTCTGGTTCAGGTCATTTGTACTCAAAATATTCTTTAGGGTATTCCAAAAGTGTGACTTCCAGATGAATGAAATGGACTTGAATTTGATTTGAATGAAGAAGTCCCGCTAAATCGAAATTCTAAACTTACAAATGTGGTCAACGGTCAATTAATATTTTCTATAAGAAGTAATTTAGGTGCAGGCTTTTACCTTTAACGCCGATTCGCTCGTATCCAGTAGCTGGCGCCAGTCTCACTGCATGTCGTTCCAGTTCTGGCATCGTGGGAACACTTACCGCAGTGAAAACTCACGATTAACTGGACTCATGTAGACGACCTGGGTCCAGCGCTTTACCAGCCAAAAATTGGCATGCCATGCAGCCAGTGAGACTAGCGCCAGCTACTGGATACGTGTAAATCGGCCTTTATAGTAATAATCCCACCACAGTTTAATAACAGTTTAATCGCAAATAAATAGCATAAAATAGCAAGAAATTTGTCTGTCAATCTTTTTCTTTGCCGACTGCGCTGACTCTCACTATTTACAAACAAATAAACGCGCGGCTGCGCATGCGCGGCACACGATTGTACCTGAGAACAGGTGGAGGCGTACGCGATTGCCAATGTGATTGTCAGATTGCGAGGCTGCGAATGCGATTGCAGGATTGTTTTAAAGCGATTGTGAGATTGCATACGCGATTGCGGGACTGCGACTGAGATTGCCACGGCAGTTCAAGTGATTGCAAGCGATTGTTAAGAATTTGTGACAGTATTGCCGCCAGATGTTACCCCCTCGGGCCCATTAAACCAATTTTTGTTTTACAGAGAAGAAATGAACTATATCGCCAACACGTACTTGTGTTATCTGAGAAGCTCCCGATTATCTCAAGAAATCCACGACGAATTTCACGGTAAAGGTGAGAGAACTGTCCAAGAGACTGCACAAATGGTAGGATTTAAACTGCCACATGATCCGAAATAAGGATAACTGGTATTGGTAGTAACTAGATTAATAGGTATTTGTAAATAAATAGATAATAATAATTTAGTCAACAATATAAATTGGTATTTTTTTTTTTTAAATTTTTTGACTAATTATGAGATGACAAGCATTTAATATTTTCATTTCTACAAAATCCATATTTTTTATGTTTAGATGTTAGTTTAGATGAGCAATCAATGACATTTTGATCTCAAATGATCTTTAAGGCAATTTTTGTTTCACCCTGTATCTTCTAGAAAGTGGGTAGAAATGTGTTATCAATGAATCAATTAGAATTGATAGTTAAATCGCCCCAAATTGCTGATCTGATTTTATTTCTGGGATGGAATATTTTAGCATTTTTTGGAATTTTTTTAACATTTTTATGATTTTTTTTTTTGCATTTTTTGGAATTTTTTGTGGAATTTTTTGGAATTACATATTATATTGTCTTCTACTCACAAAATAACTTATAGACTAGAATGAAATACTTACAAGGTAGTAATTATTCACAAATTGGCAATCATCTCAAAAATGCAAATTGTTGTCCTTTTTTGATTGGTTCATATTGAAAATTTGCATTAATATGGCTTACTCTATATTCACCAATGAAATATAGGTATTTGAAATAAGTGAAAATAATGGAGGCGAGATTTCTATTGGAAACTGAAAAAAAAATTGTTTAGAAAAAAAAAAGGGACCAGCTTTATAATGATAACAAAGAATTTTATTGGTCGAATAACTTAAGATTTAAAAAAATTAAAATTTGCAAATCCTTCATTGAATCCAATAAAAATCGACTCTAAATTGTTTCGACACATTGAAAAGTTTCATTATTCCCAGTTCTTTGCAGATGATTCCAGTAGGTAGGTAGGTATTTACCTACTATTTTATTTCTGGAACTATAAATTCAAATGAGCTGAAATTTTCAGGGATTGTAATTCTCTATTATAGGGTATGAAACGCTGAAAAATTCAGCTTTATATCTACTATATTTTCAAAAATCTAAATTATAAGGTAGCTAGCTTAGCTTAGTTCTAAAATGATGAAATGAAACTAGGTATAAGTCCAAATGAGTTGAAATTTTCTGGGATTGTAGTCCTCTACTGGGATAAGAATCGCTCAATCAACTTTCTAGGTATCTCTAATAGAAAAAATGTTATGTTTTTTTAAAGTTTATAAAAATCTAAATCATAAGGTACCTAGCTAGCCTTAGTAAAGTCTGTTTTTTTTTTTAAAGATAATTCCCCAAGTCAAAAATTTAGTAACTATGTTGGCAACACAAGCCTTTTCTACATAAAAAATTTGAAAGCATTAACAATTTTACATTGCATTGCCAACATAATATCATTTTGACTTTTATGGTGGACTGTGCTACTGTTTTGAAAATCTGAACAAAATTGGTGTTACAGAACATAGTGAATTGTGGAAACTAATTGTATTTAAATCAAATACCTTTGCAATTTACCAGTTTTTTTTTTTTCGGGTGAATAAAAAATAAACACACTACTAGCATTGAAAATTCCTTAGTTCTTTTGATGATCTTTTATATTACTGCATATTTTTATTTATTTTTTTGTGAATCACTGACACCTGTTTGTTTTGATAGGGGGCTGATGTTTATTTATGAATATTTATTTCCATTCATGATTACTTGGATGTTGTAAATTGATTGTATCTATATATTGACCAGCGGCTCAACATGACATCGAATTGCCAAATATGTCAAAAAGAGTGTATTTTTAAGCGGCGCCCAAATGCCAAAGAAGGAACCTTTGGAACCAGCTTTGATAGATTCCAGACTTTCCTTTGTAAGGAATGTGCTAATATCTCCACCACTGAAGCAGATGCCTTAACTATTCAAAACAGAAATATAATATTTTTTTGTGCTTCATGTAAATCTGGAATTGCTGAAAAGGACTCAATTATAAAAGTCCTCGAAAATTTGACCAAAAAACAGAAACTAGAAATAATTAATAGGGATATGATTCATGAAAAAAAGGATTTGGATGATCGCCACATTATTGAAACCTTGAATGAAGACATAGAACAACTTCAATATGACCTAAAATTGAAGGAAAACCACATCAAGAGACTTGAGCGGGGCTCCCAAATACTTACTGATGAGGCTGAAGCAGTTGAAGAAAGCTACCATCAAAAGACTAGTCAGCTTTCCCAGACCATCGAAGACCTGAGAGCTAAACTTTCCAAAACCGATAAAGTAAAACTGGATATTGAGAAAATGACTAGAAGCCACAAAAATGAACTTCAAAACAAAACACAGCAGATTAATGAACTAATTAAACAAAATCACGCCCTAATAGAGAGAATTAACTCTCTAGAAAAGCAAAACAATGAATTAGAACTATCAGTTGATACACTAAAACAAAATGCAACTTGTTTTGCGAATAACCAGACACTTCCGCCCCACCGAAACAGCAATTCCACCCAAAATGTTCCGTTGCCTGAATCAACTATTGCAGCAAATGGATGCGGCGATAAAAAAAAAAAAACTTATACTCTCAGATGACCATGGAAGGAATTTAGACAGGAATATTGCAAAACACCTACACTTTGGTCACTTCAATATTCAATCCATTATCAAACCTGGAGCTCACTTCGACAACGTCTTATCAGAACTGGACTCACATACTTTGATGTGAATGATTATGTAATCTTGATTGCCGGTTCTAATGACTTTCTCAATAACAAACGACCCAAATATAGCACTATTCATGAAACGATAAAACATTGCTTACATACCAATTTCATATTTTTAGCCTCTCCAATGGTACAAAAAAATAAAAGCAATGATTACATAAGACATTTTAACATAAATTTAGAAAAGGTTGTGAGAGCTCTTAATAACGTTTCTGATACTAATTTTGATTTTGTGGATGTTAACACTGACAAGGGATACAAAGCGAGGAACTGACTGATTGGTAGAATGGTCGCTGAATCCATCCAGTTAAACTGCTTACAAACTCAGCTGTCACAGCAAATAAGCAGAAAATCGTTATCAAACCAATCGACCATCTTGCCTATTGACAGATCCTCGCACAATAGATCTCCACAGGCACCAAACAGAACCATAAATATCTGCGAATTGAATAATACTACTCATTCTGTTTCTCTATTTGAGGAGCTGAACAACAGCTGTAATCTGGGTGGGGAATCCATGGTTTGTAACAGTACTAGTCTAGATCCCAGCTATTCTGTCTCTTTTTTAGGGAAGAAACTAGACCAAATAAAAGATCTCCCCTGTCCCAAAAACCAAACATCATAAATCTTATGCTTCTTAACATCCAGTCGGCTAGAAATAAAACAAACGATTTATTTATTTATCTAGAAAGTAAAAATTTTCCTCATATAGTCTTGCTTACTGAACACTGGCTAAAAGATTTCGAACCACTATCTATCCCAAATTACTATACATTATTGAAATTTTGCAGAAATGAATTTGAACATGGGGGCACTGGTATTCTGATAAGTGCTGAATTGGCTGAGAACAGTGACCTCTGTAACTGCAGCAAGTACGATTTTCTCATAATCGAGAAGATCTTTGAATTCTCCCTGCTTTATTCCAAATCCTTAGATACCTATGTCATATGCATTTACCGCTCTCCAAACACCAACATTGCCAATTTTATTGAAAACTTTGAAATTTTATTAACCAACATTCCAATAAAAACCAAACTCATATATCGATTTCGGAGATCCAGAAGCACAATCTACTATTTTACTCACTGGTCTTCTAGAATCTTTTAACCTCAAGATGCATGTTAAAGAACCCACACGAATCACAAACAATTCTTCCACAACCATAGACTATGTGTGCTCTAATCTGGATAGTGAAGTTGAAGTTGACTGCTATACAGACGATCCTGCGCTGTCTGATCATCAAGCTGTATTAGCTTCTTTTCCATTTTCAACCAAAGCCACAACTCATAAAAATCGCGGGAGGATTTTCAGTAAAAGAAACTTCACTCACTTTAGGCAAGTGTGCAGTACTGCTGACTGGAATAACACATATACTACGAAAGACCCGCTTCAGTCCTTTCATCTGACACTTACTGAAATTGTAAATAAATCATTTCCTTTCCGCCCGCTGCGAAAAAGAAATAATCAAAAATACTGGGTTACTAAAGGTCTGAGAACATCCGCGGAAAATCTAAGGTCTCTAAATATCATTAGAAAACATTTTAACAATGATGCCTTTATTTATAATTACTACCTTCTCTATCGTAAACACTACAGAAAACTAATACACGACGCGAGGACACTATTCTACAAGAACCGCATACAAAATTCATCGAATAGTTCTAAAGAGACTTGGAATGTTGTCCTGTCCGAGACTTAACTGGAAAAACTAATGCTCAATCCCAACATATAGATATTGAACCGAACACTCTGAACAATCATCACTGCTCGGTTGCAACGAACCTAGTTAAAGATATCCAATCTGACACCGATCCCTTATCATACGTCGAACATCTACGCGTACCAGACTCATTTTCATCTATACCAACAAATACCACTGAACTTAAATTGACAATAAAATCCATTAAAAATAAAAACGCAGCTGGTTCAGATGGCTTATCTGCTAAAATCTTGAGTGACCTCCCTGATCAGGCATTACAGGTTTTGTCTTATGCCATAAATAAATCATTTCTGGAGGGATCATTTCCATCAAGTCTAAAGAAAGCTACGGTAGTTCCAATTCACAAAAATGGGGACACAAAAAATCCTGCAAACTATCGGCCCATCTCATTATTGTCAACAATATCCAAAATTGTTGAAAAACTTGTTAAAAAACGCATGATGGATTTTCTGATGTGCCATGATGTCTTCAATAGTGCTCAGTTTGGCTTTCTTCCCAGAAGAAATACACACGACGCAATGCTTAAAGTAATGGAGCAACTTTTCAGACATTAGAATAATGGCTATGCTACTGCAGCGGTGTTCTGTGACTTTTCCAAGGCTTTTGACTGTGTGTGTCACAGAGTACTGCTGCGAAAGCTGGAAGCTTACGGTTTCAGGGGAGTGGTCCTAAATTGGTTCGAGTCCTTCTTAACCAACCGCACTCAGAGTGTCAGGGTGAACGGCGAATGTTCCACTAGCCAGGTTATTGACCACGGAGTACCACAGGGTTCGGTTTTAGGACCGATCCTGTTTTTGCTCTATATTAATGACTTATTACAAATAGACATATCAGGAGTATTTGCTGCATTTGCCGATGATGCAACGATTTTGTGGCATGGAAGGGAATCGCGAGAGTTGGTTCGGATAATCTCTCAAGATCTGGTTAAAATTAAACACTGGTGTGACGCAAATGGGCTTATTTTCAACTTTAACAAGACTCAAGTACTGGGTTTTCGCTGTAATATGGATGATATTGTATGTGATCAGTTCTTAATTAAATCTTCCACAAGTACTAAATTTCTTGGACTTCAGATCGACGTCAGTCTAAAATTCCAATCACATATCTTATCACTAAGCAAAAAACTCGCTTCAGGGTGTTATTGTGTCCGAGCCGTAGCTACTCACTTAGGTTCACAAACTGCAAAATCAGTCTATCATGCAGTGTTTGAGTCACATCTTGCATACGGCTTACCTTTCTGGGGATGTTGCAGTCAATACTTGTTTGACTCTGTTTTTAGACTGCAAAAAAGGTTCATTACATGTGCCCCGATAAGAACTCATTGTAGACCACTATTTGTACTTCATAAAATCCTTACTCTTCCCTCACTGTTCATTCTAGAAACTGTTAGTCTAATACATAAAAATCTTCATCTGTTTCCAACTACCCAGAGATCTCGAACCACACGTCAAACAAACATAAATGCTATACCTCTTCCTACTCCTCATACCACACTGGTACAAAAATCAATTATTTACAACAGCCTAAAGATTTATAATCACTTACCTGATAGCCTATTATCCATGTCGGATCTTGGCAAGTTCCGAAAAGCACTAAAGGAAATTTTGGTTGCACAAGCATTTTATTCTATTGAGGAATTTTTTAATTTCTCCTTCCGTGAAACAAGGACCTAAGTACTGAAAAGCTATCTATTGAACCCCACCTGGTTATATTCTGTTGTTCATTGTGTGATAGTGTTTTCCTTCTGTATGAGTTTACGAAAACTTTCCAATATATTATACTAATTACCTAAGTACTGTTTCTCATTTTAAACTATTTATATGTATTGTTTTTTTTTTCTATTTTAGACTGTTCATTTGTTTTTTCCTAATTATTTATTGTTCTCCACAGATAATATTGAAAGACCTTGTTTGGTGCATATTAACCAAATTAGTTGCTAATCTTTTTTTATCATAGCTTTTTATCTATTTGTTGAGAAATATGGAGCGATCACTTGTCAGATATTTTTGTTTTTCTATTGTTCTTGCTTTTTTTTTACTCTGAGTGTTTTTATATGTAGATACTTTATTCGTAATTTTAATAATGAATAATAGATTTAAGTGTTTTAAATTAAGTTTGCTTTGTCAATAAGATTTAGAGTTTCTTGGACAATAAAGCATGTGTACTTCTACTACTACAACTACTACTATCTTTAAAAAAAAAACAGACTTTACTAAAATGATAAAATTTCAATTGTTTTTTTGTGTTAAGATTTTGTGTCCTAATGGTCTTTTGGGATCCCCTAATTTCCATACACTAAATTATTCCGAGATTTGGAGCCAGATTCTATGAAAAAAGGCACTCAAGAAAATTGAATTATTGATAGGTAGGTATATCTTTAGAGCTATATCACCCCAAATTGCTTTTGGAATTTTTTGGAATTTCTTGACTTTTTTTGGAATTTCTTGGCATTTTTTGGAATTTCTTGGCATTTTTTAGAATTCTTTAGAATTTTTCTACATTTTTTGGATTTATTTTTGTATTTTTTGAAATTTTTTGGAATTACATACATATAAGTATTGTCCTCTACTCACAAAATTACTCACAGACTAGAGTAAAATACTCACAAGTGAGTAATTATTCACCAATTGGCAACCATGTGAACCATGTCAAAAATGCAAATTGCCCTCCTTTTTTGATTGGTCCATGTTCAAAATTTTCAAAAATATGGCTTACCTCTATATTCACCAATGAAATATTTGAAATAAGTAAGAATAATGGCAGCAAGATTTCTATTGTGAACTGGAAAAAAAAAATTGTTTAGAAAAAAAAAGGGACGAGCTTTATACTGATAAAGAATTTTATTGGCCAAATAACTTTGGATTTTTTTTTACCTTAATTTGTCATTGGTCGATTGCGATTATTGGGAATTGGTTGATAAGAAACAGAAAACCATTTTTTGCTAAGAAAAAATAAAGGGGGCGGAGCTTATACTGATAACGAAAAACTTTATTGGCCAAATAACTTAAGGGATCTTTTTTCATGAATTTGTCATTGGTGTATTGGGTTTATTGGAAACGCGAATTTCGACTACAGTCACACAGTGCCTCTATACAAGACAGTGGCGACAATAGCGTCTAAGCTCCGCCCACCCGCCATGTTTTGTCAAA